AGGTTACAAAAGGTATACTTACAATGTGATAGGTTCTGAGATTGTTTTGGAGAGATATTTGAAGCAATTTTGTTTGAATCAGTGTTTGGTAACTTTGCATGGGCCTGTATTTGTACTCCATTGGGGTTGACTGGATCTTAATTTTTGTATTTCTAGGCCTTATCAGATGGTTTGGTACATCTCTGTTGGAATTTTACCATTTGTCATTGAATTGTTGCTATTTTAAAGCTCTGTATGAGTTTAGTATAATTAAAATATAATTTTTACCACTCTGTGGTACTTTGGAGGGACATCTGCCCAGTGACCATACATACACAGTTAAGCTGGTTTTTACCGAAAGTAAAGGATACCTCAGTAGTGGATTATGACTGGACATTTGAAAATTAGAATTTACAGTTATTGGATATAGCCAAGGGAACACTTAAAGGAGAGATAGATGCAGGGAGACGGCTATAAATGTAGGTCAGTGTTGCAGGAATGTAGAGTGTAGCAAGACACTCCACAAGACATTGATGACAATTGTATAGATCGATGAATTACTATAATTAAAGCCTTAAATTAGGTATTGGTTGACTTATAATAAATAGAAGTTCATAGAGAAGGAAGGCGATATATTATAAATAAAACATCTGCTGTAGAACTTGAACTAGATCTAGTGTCCCTTATTTACTAGAGGCTCTCGGTGCATGAAATTTGTGCAAGAGTAGACCTTCCTTCCCCCAGTTGTCAGCACCAGCTTCCCTCTGGCACCCAGGACCTGGGTTTCTCTCACAGCCCTGGCTTTATCCAGAAGGTCATCAGAACCATGTCCAGTCTAATTAGCATATTACACTTTTATTATTATAGATGCTATTAATTAATAGTGCTTAGGTGAAAATCACCTTAAGTAATCCATCTTGGATTATAATAACAATAAGGTAAATCTGTTTTCTTCCAGTAATAATATTTTATTTAATGTTTGATTAGAAAACATTCCCTAACTTTTTTTCCCTCCAATTCTCCCTACCCCATAGGTTTCACATCACCGAAGGCAGATTCTCTTGCTGCTATTCCTACCACCACAAGCCCAGTAGTTTATACAAGACCAGCAATAAGTAGCTTTTCTTCTAGTGGAATCGGGTTGGGGGAAAGTTTAAAAGCTGGATCATCATGGCAGTGTGATACTTGTCTACTCCAGAACAAAATTACAGACAGCAAGTGTATAGCCTGTCAAGCGACAAAATTGCCACTAAGAGATACTGCTAAACAGACTGGAATTGGGACACCAAATAAAAGTGGCAAACCAGCTCTTTCTGCATCAGGGACAGGTTTTGGAGACAAATTTAAACCAGCAGTAGGAATTTGGGATTGTGATACCTGTTTAGTGCACAATAAGCCTGAGGCGATAAAATGTGTAGCTTGTGAAACACCGAAACCTGGAACTGGTGTTAAGCGAGTCCTTACATTGCCAGCGGCTTCAGAAAGTGCTGTCACCGTGGCTGCTTCATCCTCCAGCTGCACTGTGACCACTGGTGCCTTAGGATTTGCAGATAAATTCACAAAGCCCAAGAGGTCTTGGGAGTGTCCAGTATGCTGTGTTCCTAATAATCCAGAGGACAATAAATGTGTGTCCTGTATGTCTGAGAAACCAGGTACGTTAATGGCTGTTTGGAATAATTTTGCTCATTATGTTAGTAGAACATTTTAATTCTCTGTAAGACCACTAAGAACAACTAGAATATTTTAGGTGTTTCAGGATGAGAATTTTCTCATATGTCTTAAACTTTTTAAAGCTATATTGAGATTAAAATGACTTGCGTGGGGCTAGATTTATTTGTTTTCTTAGGATAGGCTGTGAGTACTTTGATCTCTTCTTTGTATGCAGTTTTATCATAAACTTTTTGTTCTTCATGATCATTTCAAAGTTGACTGTTATAGATGCTGAAAGGTCTTAGAAGGGAACAGTCTTTCTCAAACCTCTATACAGAATGAAATATTACTTAGTCTTTTTTTCTCTAAATGAGGATGGCTAGTGGTCATTTCCAGAGAAGACTTGATTAAGGGGTGGACAATATTGCTTTCTGAAAAGGCTGTCGTTGAATGTTAATGGCGATACCTGTATCTGTATACTATCTGCCAGAATTTGCAATGGTAGTAAGTTACTGAATCATCAGTAAAAAATTCTAAATTAGCTAGAAAAATGAAGTTAGGTTTGAGATTTTTCTGTTGAAATTTTAAAGAGTTAATAAATGTTCACTTTTGGAAATGACTCTGCTGTTTTTGTAATACTATTATATAATTATTTGGTACGGATATATGGTGACTTGAATATTAAATAAAACATATAGGTATTTTGGGAATTTTATGTGTAGTTTTGTATCTGCAATGAAAAGCTGTTGAGTTATTAGCCTAAATCTCTGTCTGAACATAAGGGGTGAGCCATAAATCTAATTCCTACTGGATGTCTCCACGAGAATAAGGTTTCAAAAATCTTCATTCTGAATTAACTTTCTCTTCCCACCTGACACCCCTCCTTCCATATTATATATATATATAATAACAAGACCTTGATACAGGCAGGGAACTGAAATTCTGAGTTGATAGGAGAAGAAAATTTTAAGTCAGGCAAGAATTGTTACACATAAAGGAAATTCATGTATTAAAGAATGCTGACTTCATCTTATAAATGAGCCATGATTTTAAGCAGAGGAGTGATGCAGTCAGATTTGTATTTTGATAAATCACTAGGTGGCTTTTTGAAGGATAGACTTAAGGGTGACAAAATTTGGAAACCAAAGGACAGATTAGGGAGATTGCATCAATAATATAGGCAAAGATAATGGTGATGTGTATTAATGAAATCAAATAAGGATGGAAGGGTTGTAGAATAATGTGTAGTTGAAGACATGATGATTTCAAGCTGTTGGAAGTTGACTTTCAGATTATGTGAGATCATTATACTGATAATGGACCCTCTGGCCTAAAGATACAGATTAGAGTCACTAGCCCATAGTTTTCTAATAAGTCATGGGAATAGAGGTGATGGAAGTGACTGGAGTAAGTAAAGAAGATGGTCTAAAAATGGAACTCTGCCTATTTAAGTAAGTGGCAGGGATAAAATTTTGGAAGTTAATTTTTTAAAGGAATAACCAGAGGAAAGCATGGCACTGGTTGCTTCTTGGAAGGATGAATTTAGAGGGAATAAATCTCAATATGAAAGCTATTATTCAACCAAACAATGAGTATAGCAGTAGAAGGGGTCAGAAAAGAGAATGAAAAAGATGTGAGAAATATGTAAGGGAGGAAAAGCCATTAACCAAGTTAATTAGTGGGATAGTGGAACTGCCAACTAAGGAAGAGACCACAGGAATGAAGCACAGAAGTGTGGATTGCAGATAAAGATTAGGAAACTTTTGTTGATTAAAGTTATCAGAGTAGATGAGAACTTGTGAGCAGTGCAATGTACCAATGATGGAACCTCAGCAGTTTTACTGGCATGATGGAAGAGAATATACCAGTAAGACATCAGATAACTGGGAGAAGTGATGACAATTGGAGAACATTTAGAGAAGCAGGGATACCAGAATAGATGGCTCACTCTTAACACAATAAAGGGTGGGGCAAAAATGGGCTTATAGTTGTGAGTACATGAAATAGTTTATTCTTGTATTATTATTGTATTCTTTTTCATATTAACAACTGTCAAGCTACTTTTGCCCCACCTTTTATTTATTTATAAACTGCTTTGCTGAGCCATCCTTGCTGTGGAGCCTCCTCTCCCCATAGAACTTGCTAATTCTACTTAAAGATTTAAATCTCACCTCTGAGGATCCTTCTCCTACCCCTTAGTGATTTCTCCTTCTTGTACTCTTGCATTAAATCATTTATTACTTTCCTTCTTGGTGATGGTGCTACTATGCATTTATTTTTACTTTTCCCTTTTAAGACTATGAACACCTTTAGAAGTTAATATTTTACTCATCTTTTATGTTCACAGTGCCCAAGTAAATTATGGTGTTAATAAATGTCTGTTTAGGCTAGCTTATAACAGATGCCATGAACACATAATAGGTGGTGTCAAGTGGAATTGCAAAATGAATGATAGAACACTTCTATGCAAAAATGATCATTTCAAAGGCAGAGACCTGTGCTTTGAAATCTTGAATTTAATATGGTTTGTGGCTATGTATTTTCTATGTTACGATATTGTCTATAATTTTATGTCTTATAATGGTGTACTGCTTGAAGAAATTGGACAAAGATTTTCAAGGAAAATTTATTTAGTCCTAGGCTCTGATATATGAGCATGATTTTTTTTTTAAACCATGGCTATTCAAACTTGGGATTAAGGGGTACTTATCACTAAGCAAGGTGAGTATGAGCTGTTCATTCATAAGATTAAATTTTTAACAATGTAATGTTTGTATTTCTGGCATTTTAATAGGAAACATTAGTAATATAAATTGAACATTTAGACCTAGTGATTGAACATTTACCATATTGACTTCATGTAAATGAGAATTCCCATATGTTTCTGCATTGTTTTTAGGAAATTCAGTACCTGCTTCAAGTAGCAGCACGGTTCCTATCTCTCTGTCTTCTGGAAGCTGCCTAGGATTAGACAAGTTTAAGAAACCTGAGGGAAGCTGGGAATGTGAAGTGTGCCTAGTGCAGAATACCGCAGATTCTACCAAATGTGCAGCATGTGAAAGTGCCAAGCCAGGCACAAAATCTGAGTTTAAAGGTAAGGAGTTGATAAAGAGCTTCTTTGTATTGCCATTATAAAGTGAAATACTTCCAAACAGCTTTAGTTTTAAAATTATTCATTCTCTAATTCAGGGGTCCTCAAACTTTTTAAAGTGGGGGCCAGATCACGGTCCCTCAGAGAGCTGGAGGGCCGGACTATATGAACTACTAATTCCTACTGTAACACCTCGGCTGCGCTCACTGCCCAAAAAACCTGGCGGGCCGGATCAGACTCCTCTGCAGGCCGCATGTGGCCCGCGGGCCGTAGTTTGAAGACGCCTGCTCTAATTAATGTAAATGAGGTATTGCCCTGGACTTTTTAGTTCCATCTATGCTAGTAAAATGGTAATATGCTAATTATACTGGACATCCTTCTGGACAAAGCCACGGTAACAGAGGCAGTTAGGGGCAATCAGGCTATCAGGGGAGAGCAGTTAGGGCGATTAGGTCAGCAGGGGAGAACAGTTTGGCAGTTAGGGGGATCAGGCCAGCAGGGAAGAGCAATTAGGGGCATCAGACAAGCAAGCAGGTGACTGGTTAGGAGCCAGATGTCCCGGATTGTGAGAGGGATGTCCAACTGCCGGACATCCCCCGAGAGGTCCTGGATTTGAAGAGGGTGCAGGCTGGACTGAGGGGCCTCTCTCCCCCTGCACAAATTTTCTGCACTGTCTAGTCTGTCTCTGAATTAGTGTAAGGTTGAATTATTTGCTGGTCAGCAGTGAGGTATCTTTTCTGCATCTAGGTAGATAATCTGTATTTTATTATTGATTCTGAGAGAGTTTTAGCTTTTTTAACTGTTAACAATCCTTTGGTATATAGATAAATTTCCTGTCTTTTTGACTGGCAATTTATACCCCTGGAACCTTGTTATAAGTAATCCAGACTTGGGCTTTTATTATTCCAGAAAAATAACTCGCAATATTTGTTATATAAATGTAAAGGAAGAACCTCTCAAAGTAATCTGGAGGCTGGATTTTTCACATCTTGATATTTCTATATGAATTATTTCATATGAGACACTTCCTAGTGCTTTCAAATCACTGCTCTTCAGTCTATTTTAGTTCCTTCTGTAGCTGATACCTCATGGCTTCTTTTTTATATTCTCTACTTGTAATACGGTAATTGCCATACCTTTAAATGTGTCCCTTTGAGGCAGAGGTGACAACTAATGTGGTTTTTGGGATTTTTATTTTTAGCTTTCTGTGTAATATCACTCAAGGTATCTTAGAGACCATGTGGATAGCTATTTGCTTTTGAGATTCTGATACAGTTTTTCAGTTAAGATTTTTAGAGAAAGAAAATAGGGTGGGTAATCATTAAAAGTGGAAATCTGAAGATGAGGGCTTGTCATTTGTCTATTTACATATGGGTAAGCAGAGTAATGGATAAATATCTTAGGCCCTCTAATATTTCCTTTTTGAGGCAATCAGTTAAGCATTCCATTTCTCATTTATTCGTTATAAGAAAGCATTAGGAAATCAAAACTTTGATCTTGTCAATACAGTATAGTTTATCTTTTTAAATATTGTTTCCACTGATGTATTTCTAATACTTTGATGCTAAATTTTTTTAATGCTTGAATAAATAACACATTCACAAGTCTTAAAAATCAAATTATGACGATTTACAGTGAAAAGTCTTATCTCTTCCCATTGGCTTATTTTTCATTTTTCCTCTCCTACCAGTCAAAAAGCTATGGTTGGTTTTATTACTCTTTCAAAGTTTCTTTGTGCACATCATAAGAAAATAATGATTCTGAATATCCTATGTCTCTACCTTGTTTAAGTGCTCTGCTGCCTCTTTTTCCTTGATTTTATCACATAATTAGCTTGGACATACATTTGTTTTTTGTTCACAGCTGCCCAGATTGCATATGGCATTTTGTATGTCACTAATAACACAGCTGTAGAATTATTAGAAGGAAATGTGTTTGTAATTTTTTGGTAAACATTGACAAAATGCCTTTTATAACTTCGTGCTAAGTTACACATCCACCTGCAATGTATAAAGTGTCTATTATTTCTAGTAATACTGTTTTATCTAACTTGTCAAATCTCTGTAGTTGCTAAGGATTAGGAATGTAGTTCTCATGCTGAATTTTTGGCAATTTGGTCTATGTTTACTGCCATTGCTAATCTTTAAAGTACGCCTTTGCAGAGTTATTTCCATGTCCCTTTGGTTTTTAAGGTTTGCATTTTGTTTTGAGTGGATAACATTAACTCAGTGTCTTATATTTTTGAAGGCTTTGGCACATCTTCCTCATCTTCAATCCCAGCATCCTCATCCTTCAAATTTGGTATACAGTCATCCTCTTCTGAGCCTTCTCAGACTTTACCAAGCACTGGAAATTTTAAATTTGGAGATCAAGGAGGCTTTAAAATAGGTATGTCATCAGATTCTGGATCTTTAAACCCCATGAGTGAAGGCTTCAAATTTTCTAAACCAGTAGGAAATTTTAAATTTGGAGTTTCATCTGATTCTAAACCCGAAGAAGTTAAAAAGGACAGTAAGAATGATAATAATTTTAAGTTTGGACTTTCTTCTGGTTTAAGCAATCCAGTTTCTTTAGCTCCATTTCAGTTTGGGATGACTAATCTTGGGCAACAAGAAAAGAAAGAGGAACTGCCTAAAGCTTCATCTACAGGCTTTAGTTTTGGTACGGGTGTTACTAACCCTACTCCTGCTGCTGCTAACACTGTGGTGACCTCTGAGAGCAAGAGTAGCTTCAACTTTGGAACTATCGAAACCAAGAGTGTCTCAGTGGCTCCTTTCCCATGTAAGACGCCAGAAGCGAAAAAAGAGGAAATGCCTGCCACCAAAGGAGGGTTTCCTTTTGGCAACATGGAACCTGCCCCTCTGCCGTCTGCCTCCTTGTTTGCTTTGGGAAGGACAGAAGAGAAGCAAGAGCCTGTCACTTCTACTTCTCTTGTGTTTGGGAAGAAAACTGACAATGAAGAGCCAAAGTGTCAACCAGTGTTTTCCTTTGGGAATTCAGAGCAAACCAAAGATGAGAGTTCTTCAAAGTCCACCTTTAGTTTCAGTGTGGCAAAACCATCTGAGAAGGAGTCTGAGCAGCCAGCAAAAACCACTTTTGCTTTTGGAGCTCAAACCAGTACTACAGCTGGTAAGTATTAAACATTTTCTTTTATAAGGTGTCTTTGATATCTCAAAGTCAAGGAATGGCTTCTACTAAAAATATGTGAGAGGGACTAGTAACAGAACTCTCAGGAAAGGAGCCTAGGATTTTCAACTTTAATTTCTCCATTCCCTCATAATTTTAATGATCTACTGATCTGATTTTGAGAAATACAGTTCTAATGGAAAGCCCACAATATTGCATGCTTGTGTCTTTCGCCCTTCTGTGAGCTTTAATATCAGAATTAGCATATACTATTCAGGAAAAATAGGCATTCTTTCCTATGCATATGAATATTTCCTAACTAATAAAATTTTTATATGTAGGCCTTCATTTACAAATAGAGATAACCAGTCATTATCAGCCATGTAAAGAAATATAGACAAATATAATTCATCTCTGAGAAATAGAGGCAATTATGAAAACTTAAATTTTGAAGAAAAATGAAATAGCATTTTTATTTTTTTTAATTTATTTTAAAATATATTTTATTGATTTTTTTATCAGAGAGTAAGGGAGAGGGATAGAGAGCTAGAAACATCGATGAGAGAGAACCATCGGCCAGCTGCCTCCTACACACCCCTTATTGGGGATGTGCCCGCAACCAGGGTACATGCCCTTGACTGGAATCGAACCTGGTACCTTTCAGTCCGCAGACCGACGCTCTACCACTGAGCCAAAAACGGTTTCGGCTGAAATAGCATTTTTAAATGTTAATGGAAAAAAATCATTTTATGGACTGAGGAGCAGAAAAAAGCATATTTGGTAATCAGATTAGTGAACTGGAATTTTTCAGGGCACAGTGCAAAAGTACAGAGAGATTCATCCACGCTAGATTCACAAGTGCAATTGGAATAAGAATGCTTAGAAGATGAGAGCATGAAGGAACTGTCAAATAAGTGATAGAAGAAAATTTCCTAGCTGTAAAGAGAAACATTGATCTTAAAAATGGAAGTAGTCCACTCATTGACAAAAGCCAGTAAAATTTTAAGACACCAAGCCAAAATTCTGAATGCTTTCAGAGAGAGAGAGAGAGAAAGAAAGAAAGGCTGTTTGCTACAAATAAAATTACCAGATTAGCATCAGGCTTCCATTTTATAACATCAGATGCTAAAACAGAGCAGTGTTCTCAAAAGTGAAACTAGGCTTTGAACCTAGAATTTTGTAACCAGCCAAATTTTATCAAACACAAGGGCAAAAATATAGATGTTTTCAGGTAAGCAGAGAATCAAATTGAACACCCATGTACATTTTGGAATAATAAATTGGAAACAATCAAAATAAAAATTTAAACCTAAAAAATAATTTGAATACAGCAAATAGATGTGAGCTTTTTTGTGTATTGAATTTTTACTTGGAAATTTAAAAACACCCTTTTAAAGAAAATAAAAGCTAAATTATATATAATTTGGGAAGGAATAAACATGAGATAGGGTTTAACCAAATTTAATCATGGGCTCTCTATATCAACCTTTCGGACCTTGTGGACCACCAGAGGTCTGAGGACCACTGGGTTGGCGAGCACTGCTTCCATACTGTTTCCATTGAAATAGACCTCTTAACCCTCCTATCTATTGATTTGAAAGTGAGCTAAAATGTTAGCTCCATTTTCCTAACTCATGCTAATGCCCTTACAATAAGGCAGTGGTTCTCAACCTTTCTAATGCCTCAACCCTTTAATACAGTTAGTTCCTCATGTTATGGTGACCCCCAACGATAAAGTTATTCTCATTGCTACTTCATAACTGTAATTTTGCTATTGTTAATGAATCGTAATGTAAATATATGTGTTTTCCGATGGTCTTGGGCTCTAAGCAGCGGTTCTCAACTTGTGGGTCACAATTCACAGGTTGAGGACCGCTAGCAGGGTCGCCTAAAATGTTGGATGACATATTTCATTTGTATTTTCTAATATTTTAAATTTGTATTTTATAAAAGCCACAGAACCTATTACATGCTAACATCATAAGAACATATTTAATACTTGTTCCTGAATGAGAATATTTCTCTCCTTCCCAGCCCCAGTCCACAATGTAATTTCAGTTCTTAGAGGAATTGTGGATCTTGGAGTTTATATAGAAGGAAAATGCACAAAAAATTTGGGGGAGAAGGGCAGGCACACAGATAGGTTTGTCTTACTAAATATCAAACAATTCTGTCAAGCTATAACAATTAAATCACTTTAGTAACAATAACTATATCAGAAACATATATTTGGAATTTAATATGTCATAAAGGTGAGCAAAAGATGCACTAGTGACTAGTCAATAAATGCTGCAGGAAAATTAGCTATCATTTGGTTAAATTGAAGTTTTAATCCTACTAACATAAATTGCAAATCATATTTATATAAGTAAATATGATTCAGTTATCTTCCACTGTCTGAATTTGTTATCCAAACAAAATATTCAGTTAGATCTGGATATAAGGCATATTTTTATTAATCTGAACGATGAAAATTTTAACACAAAATCTACAAGAAAAGATGAATTCATTTGACTATCAGAATTTAATATAACAGATATGCCTATTTGATGAATAAATTTATATATACATATATAGTGTATATATTTTAAATATTTTTATTGATTTCAGAGAGGGAGAGGGAGAGAGCTAGATAGAAGTATCAGTGGTGAGAGAGAATCATTGTTTGGCTGCCATCCCCCCTGGGGCTCAAGTCTGCAACCTGCGCATGTGCCCTTGAGCAGAATCGAGCCCAGGACCCTTCAGTCCACAGGCCTGATGCTGTATCCACTGGGCCAAACAGGATAGGGCATAAATGAATCGATATTAAAAATTTCTGTTTTCTAATGACTTCTTAGATTGTACGATAAGAAAAAATGCTTTCTGTGATTACTTGTTTTTAAAATTTTTTGTTTTTTAATTTTTTGTCATACAGATCAAGGTGGAGCAAAGCCCGTTTTTAGTTTTTTGAACAACAATTCTTCTAATTCAAGTACACCAGCCACTTCAGCTGGTGGCAGCATATTTGGTAGTTCCACCTCTTCATCCAGTGCACCAGTGGGTGCCTTTGTGTTTGGACAGGCCAACAATCCCGTGAGCAGCTCTGCCTTTGGCAACCCTGCTGAGTCCAGTACATCTCAACAATCTTTGCTGTTTCCTCAAGAGAGCAAACCGGCAACCACATCCAGCTCGGGCACAGCTGTTACCCCATTTGTCTTTGGTCCCGGAGCCAGCAGTAATACTGCAACCTCTGGTTTTAACTTTGGAGCTACAACCACATCTAGCTCTTCAGGTACTTTTAAAAAAGAACAAAAAACCCATATGTGTATTTGGATTGGTCTTAATTATGAGTATATCAATTCTTAGGAATTAATATGGC